AGCATCAGCATCAGCACCGCATCAGCATCATCACCATCATCCAGCATCGCATCAGCATCAGCATAAGCTATCAGCATCATCACCAGCATCTCAGCATCAGCCATCAGCATCAGCATCAGCATCATCATCATTCATAATCCTCCATCATCATCATCAATCAGCATCATCATTCATCATCAGAATCACATCCTCGTCATCATCGTCATCATCATCATCAGATCAGCATCAGCATCAGCATTTCATTGATCATATCAGCCATCATCAGCATCAGCGTCATCACACCGTATCGTAACCCACCATCATCCTCTTCGTTCATCGAATCATCATCACCACCATCGCCATCACTCATCAACCATCAACTATCACCATCACCACACCATCACCTTGCACCATTCCACATCACCTCCACCAATCGACATCATCATCATCATCATCATTTCATCATCATCATCATCATCATCATCATCATCATCATCATCATCATAATCATCATCATCATCATCATCATCATCATCATCATCAGCATAATCATCATCATCATCATCATCATCATCATCATCATCATCATCATCATCATCATCATCATCATCATCATCATCATCATCATCATCGTCATCATCATCGAGAGAGAGAGAGAGAAAGAAAGAAAGAGAGAGCGTGATCCACCGCCGCTTTACTGTGGAAAATTGCCGCCCTTTTCCTCCGGAACCCGGGGCCCCCCCCCCCCCCCCATCCCGTGAAAATCCCCCGCCCCCTCCCGAAAATCCCTCCCCCCCCTCCTTCCCCCGGCAAAACCCCCCCCCTCCCCTAACCCCCCCCCCCCGAACTCGAAAACCGGGGGAGGTCACTACCGGTTCGAACCCCCCCCCCTCGAAAACCGGAGGGGGAGGTTACCGGTTCGAACCCCTCCCCACCTCTCACCTCCAGCAAACGACTTCCGGTCCCTACCACCGTCCTCACCACATCCCCCACTGTTGTTCCCAGCGCCACTGTCCTCACCACCACTGTCCCCACTGGTTCCACCACCGCCCCTACTGTCCCCACCAGTGCCACCACCACTGTCGCACTGTCCCCCACAGTCCCCACCACTGTTCCCACCACGGTTCCACTCTCCCAACTTTCTCCACGACTATCCCCGCTGTCCCACTGACTCCTCCGCTGTCCCACTGAGCTGTCCCACTGTTCCCACCACTGTCCCCACTGTCCCCACCACTGTCCCCACTGTACCTCTGTCCCATTGTCCCACCGCCGTCCTCGCCACCGCCTTCACCACTGTCCCCACCACCACTGTACCCTCCACTGTCCCACTGTTTCCACCACATTCCCACTGTCCCCACACCACTGTCCCCACCACCACCGTCCCCACCACTGTCCCACTGTCCCCACTGTTCCCACCATTGTCCTCACCATTGTCCCCACCACTACCGTCCCCACCACTGTCCCACTGTCCCCACCACTGTCCCGCTGTCCCATCACCACTGTCCCCACCACCACCGTCCCCACCACTGTCCGCACCCCCCCTCGGTTTTCGAGGGGGGGGGGGTTCGAACCGGTAGTGATCCCCCCCGGTTTTCGAGTTCGAGGGGGGGGGGGTTCGAACCGGTAGTGACCCCCCCCCCATTTCATGATGAACGGGGGAGGGGGTTTCGAACCGGTAGTGACCCCCCCCGGTTTTCCGGAGTGAGGGGGGGGAGGAGGGGTTCGAACCGGTAGTGACCCCCCCCCCGGTTTTCCGCCAGTAGCGGGTAGTAAAAACGCTCTTTCTCATCATCACACACCCATCACCATCACCATCACCACACCATCGACATAATCATCATCATCATCATCATCATCATCATTCAGCTATCATCATATCAACATTCACATACATTCATTCATATCATCATAAGCAGCCGCCATCATCATCATCATCAATCAGCATCATCATCATCATCATCATCATCATCATCATCATCATCATCATCATCATCATCATCATCATCATCATCATCATCATCATCATCATCATCATCATCATCATCATCCGACTCCTCCTCCCCCCTCCACCTCTGACTCCTCCTCCTCCTCCTCATCATCATCAGCATTAGCGGCATCAGCATCAGCACCATCACATCATCATCATCATCATCATCATCATCATCATCATCATCATCATCAGCATCATCATCATCATCATCATCAGCATCAGCATCAACATCACCATCACTGTCATCGACATCATCATCATCATCATCATCATCATCATCATCATCATCATCATTATCATCAGCATCAGCATCATCATCGTCATCGTCATCGTCATCGTCAGCATCACCATCATCATCATCATCATCATCATCATCATCATCATCATCATCATCATCAGTATCATCATCATCATCATCATCATCATCATCATCATCAGCATCATCATCATCCGACTCCTCCTCTCCCCTCCTCCGACTCCTCCACCTCCTCCTCATCATCAGCAGCATCATCATTACCATCATCGTCATCG